TGAAAAATCATAAAGGTCATTTCTAGGGCAAGGTTTCTTTCATCACACCACATGATATCAATTAAACTTAGCTTTTATTTTTTTTTGTATTTTTTTTAAGCAATGGGATATCAGATTTGTTAATTCTATGGCAACTGTAAACCCACACAAATTATTAATACTGTACTTGGGAGGAGTCTGTGGCTTTGTGTATCAGAAATTTAATGTTGATAAATGTGAAGTAATGCATATTGGAAAAAATAATCCCAGCTATACATACAATATAATGGGAATTAATTTAGCTACAACTACTCAAGAGAGCGATCTTGGAATAATTGTGGATAGTTCTTTGTAAACATTCACTCAGTGTGCAGCAGCAGTCAAAAATGCAAATAGTGTTAGGAACCATTAAAAAAGGGACAGAGAATAAGACAGAGAATATCTTACTGCCTCTAAATAAAACTGTGATATGCCCACATCTTGAATACTGCGTATAGATGTAGTTGCCTCATCTCAAAAAAGATATATTGGCATTGGAAAAGGGCAACAAAAATAATTTAGGGGGTTTGGAATGGGTCCCATATGAAGAGAGATTAAAAAGACTTGGACTTTTCAGCTTAGAAAAGGGGACACTAAGGAGGGGTATGATAGAGGAGTATAAAATCATGACTGGTGTGGAAAAAGTGAATAAGGAAAAGTTATTTACTTATTCCCATAATATAAGAACTAGGGGTCAGCAAATGAAATTAATAGGCAGCAGGTTTAAAACAAACAAAAGGAAGTTTTTCTTCACTCAGCGCACAGTCAGCCTGTGGAGCTCCTTGCCAGAGGATATGGTGAAGGCTAGGACTACAGCTCTTTTTTGAAACCTGTTAGATTGATTCATGGAGGTTTGGTCCATCAATGGCTATTAGCCAGGATGGGTAGGAATGGTGCCCCTAGCCTCTGTTTGTCTGGAAATGGATGACAGGAGAGGGATCATGTGAAGATTACCTGTTGTGTTCCCTCACTCTAGGGAATGTGGTATTGCCCACTGTTGGCAGACAGGATACTAGGCTAGATGGATCGTTGGTTTGACCCAATATGGCTGTTCTTATGTAGTAAATTCTTTAATTTCTTCCTGTAAGAAAGTGGCTCTGAAAGTGAGAACTGTTCTCAGTAAGAAGTGACGCTCTTGTTTTGGAGAAAGAAAAATTAATCAGAAGAACTTTGTAAACATTTTGCTAAGTATCATTGAATGCTCAGATCGTTTTTAATCAACCTCTTGATTACAATTTTATGACTTGATCCAATATAAAAATTGAATACATATTTCAGATTGCTCTGTATGTAATTTACCAGAATTAGCTGACTGACAGCTCCATGATCTGGCAATAGTGACGCTCGAGACATAGTGGCATGAACTTTATGTAAGAGTGGGTTCATTCAATTTTAAAAAAAGCATTTAAAAGAGCCTTTTATTCCTGCCATAAAGATGCTTTGTGTTGCTGCTGCTATGTATTTGACAGAGCAATTGGGGAGGGATGCAGCAAAAAGTTGTTGGAAGCATATTTTGATTCTCTTTTTCAAATATTTTTGTTTTCGTCCTCAGTGTAGTTATGTGAATGGTGAGTTGAATTTTTATGTTTGAAATATTGTTTCCCCCATGCAGTCAGTATTCATTAAATCTGTTTACCTGTTTTGCTAAGATGTTTTCCTCTATTGTTACTGTTCATTGTGGGAGGGTTTTAGGGACATGGCATCTGCTTGTGCTTCCATTTAAATCAATGGAAGCTTTCATTTCAGTAGGAGCTGGATGGGGCTCTTGTTTTGGAGTACATCTTAAAAGTTAAGACGAGTATTTCCATACTGTGCTTAGAAAAGGATCTAGTTGTGATATGATACTGTGATGAGTTATTGAAGCTACCTTTTAAGATTTACAGTTGAACAAATATAACTCAAATGGATTGTTTAAAATGGAGTAAAACTAAACTATATCATGAACTAAATCAAAATTACATAATACATAGCACTAAGATAGTGTCATAGGTTCGATACTGCCTCTTTACAATTGCTGTGGCACATATAAATAGGAGGCTGATCAGAGGGGGTATATTCTGATTTAAAAATATACGAAAAGGTTGTATGTCTGGAGGGTATTTTAATAGCCTTAAACATTGCAAGGATTGCCATATATTTTTATTTCCTTAGACATCACTAGCAAATTCTAAAAAAAAAAAAGTGTTTTTAAATGTCTTTTATATTGCATTTTCTTGTAAAATTGCATTTCAAATTACATCTCTGTTTGCAAAAAATATATTTTAAGTATTTTCTACAGGCAAATCTTATTTCAACATCTGGAAATAAGTTTTACTTTTTATACTGAGTTTTTTAAATGTCATTCATTCCATTAACTTTTATGAAGTCGGGCATATAAAGCTGGGCCTGGGAGTTTGATACTCAGTTTTGGCATAGATGTTTAACATTGTTTCCACAGTCCAGCACTCTAATCCATTTCCTTGCATCATTGAGTACTGAAAGTGACATAAATTGACATAACTAGACTTTGCTGATTGGTGCTGAGGAAGCAGCCTGAGAGGTGAACTTTACCCTACCATCCTGCCAATAAATTTACATGGTTACAGAATCAGGAATGTACATGTCATGAGATTTGCTGTGGGGCAAATAATTTTTTAAAAACACACAGTTCATGTATATTTGTAATAGTAACTTGTAGTATTGCCTGAAAACCCAGAGTTCCACCATTTAGTTTGATTAGTTGTAATTTTATCACGAAACAAAAGCTTCATAGGAATGTTTTCTCTACCCAAGAGGCTGAGATTCTAAACTGCAGTATAGTTAGAGGACACTGATTAGGAAACTTTTGTGAAAGAATTTTCTCCGTTTGTTATAGTTACTTATACTCCTGGGGAAATTCTGTGGTATACATAACATGTGCAGAATTTTTAATGTTTCTTTTAAAATTCTTCATAAGTAAGTCAAAAGCTGATGCTCTCCCATCAATTTGCTTTACTCTTCTTATTCTGGTGGAGTATGGGAGTCTATATAGGGGAAGAGAGCTCGGTGGCATCTATACTATCGCTGGTTTTTAAACTGGCTCCCCTTACAGACCAACTCTACTTGCCACCCTGTGCTGTTGCCTCAGATACAGAGATAGCAGTACAGGATAGCAAGAGGCTCCCCATGAGTGGGGCTGGGAGCCAGATGCTTACTGGCTGCTGACCCTATCCCCAGGGAGCGTTTTAGTAAATGTGTAACCCCTAAAAATTGTTGCAGCCACACGATTACTAGAATAACTGATATCTAACATCCCTAGTGCAAATTCCATACTGCACAGTGTGGTAGAACTCCAGTGTGGTAAATTTGATGGGACAGCACCTTTTTCATTATTACTGTATTATGATAGGATATTAATTATCATTAAAACACTTGTTAATTGGAAGAGAGTATGTGATTTCTAACAAGCAACTTTTTGTTTTTACCATAGTTACTGTACTGTTGGATTAATATGTCTAAGTATTTATATCATTCCCTCGTCATATCTCAATACTTTATCCACAATACATGTTAATTTATTGCAATAGCAATGTTAAGTATACCTATTAAAAGGCACACTGTGAATGAATAAGTATTATTTAATACCAGTAATTTCACTGTAAGTTTGGTACTATCTATTATTTTAACATTCTAGCTTACATGTCAGACTATCATGTGGAAATAATTTTAGGATGAGAATCATTCACTAAATTCTTGAGAAAATCAGCTTAATCTTTAGATGTTAACATAGAGAGAATAGCTGTAATTGGGGATGTCCTAAGACTGATATATTAACTTTTTCTGGGATTGGTAGCATAAATGTACTTGAATGTAAGTCCTGCAAAATACAATGCAGTTGGCATTGTGCGTTGCAGTATCCAGACTACATAGATTGTTTGATACAGAAATCATGGTTTTAGTTTATTAATCTGTAAACCACAAAAGACATCTGTCACTCCTGTGAACAGAGATCTTGGCTGGAGTCCTGAGACACACAGTGGGAATTCACTTCCTGTCAGGAAATGCTGTTTTTTATGTTTTATCTTACTGAGGCAACCAAGAGTGAACAATAAGCTATTAAAGTATTAGAACAACAAGTGTCCTAACTAACCCAATATTTACTTTGTTCTGAGTATTATCCAGAAAGAAAGCATTGGCTAGTCTTCAGAATTAATTCAGTAATCAGTAGTTATAGTGTATAAAGGCCTTAACCATTATTTTTTAAATATTAAGCAACAATCTAGTTGTGTTGAACTTTGAGAGCTTCCTGTGATAGTTTCCTGTAGTAAAAACGATAAAAATAAACCTAATAATTCAAGAGTATTGTCAAAGAGTAATGATTTTTTTTCCTAGTTGAAAATCTAAATTCATTATTTTTGAAAACTCAACACAGTAACTTATTTTATGGAATTCTCAATGCATTTTGAAGAGTAATGAGATGTCATTGTTGGTGTATATATCAATGTGTAATTGAGCATATTTGATACAGAAGCCATAATCTCCTCTAAATTTTCATGCCTCAA